GCCCCTGGCCCGTTTCCTAGGCGACCCTGCCCGAGCAAGAAGCGGCAGAGAATCCAGAGGCTCTCACGCCGGCGCCCTCAAAGCCAAACGTGGGCGTGGCCAGGTTTGGGTGGGGGCGTGGCCAGGTTTGGGTGGGGGCGTGGCCAGGGGAGGGAGGTGAGTTCCACCACCTTTTCTCTGAGAAAAAAAGCCCTGATTTTAATGATTTTAATAAGACACAGCTATAAATATTTGGTTTTTAATTGGCTTTTATAGGGGAAATGTTTTATATTGTTTTAACATGCTGTGAGCCGCCCTGAGTCCCATGGGGAGAAGGGCGGCATATAAGTTAAATAAATAATAAAATAATAATAATAATAATAATAATAATAATAATAATAATATATCAGCTCACGGTAAGAGGTGTTTTTGTAAATGTAATTGTCTTTCTTCCCTTTGCAGACATTTTAATCTGAGACTGAAGAGAGAGATGTCTCTCTTTAGTGATGACTTTAAGCTAGAGATGTCAGATAAAGTATTTGATTATGATACCTCCCATATTTACACTGGGCACATTTATGGTAAGTGCAGGAACTGTGGTTTCTGTTTTGAACTAGCAATAGCTCCTTGTTTAATCATTTATGCAGTGTAGAGCAATAGGGCCGTATTTGTGTAAAATTGAAACAATGTTAGAAAGTTCATTTTTGTCTTTAAAAAGTTGCCAGAAAGTACACTTACATTTCACATTCCTTTCCCCCCTTCATTTTATCATAATTCTGTTATCTTTCTGAAGAAAAAAGTTTGATTTCAGTCGTTTCCATGTAACAGCACAATAGCTCAAAAGATCCAGTGCATTCCTTGGACTGTTCAGTTTCACACAAAAAGCTTTGCATTACAGTTCATGTGAAAATGTGGCATACTAGCACAGGGTGTTCTTTCCCATAATAGACTCTGGCTTGGGGTACATTCAGCGGCCTAAGAATACCTGTGCCCCACAGTATTTTGGAATATGGTACTGAACTATTCATTCTCACAGTGTCCGGTTTGAAGGAAAGCTACATTTGAATTACCTTTTTTAACATACTTGGTAAAAATTAAAACAAAAATGTTGCTTGTAACTTTTGCAAGGGAAATAATTTACATGAGAAGTAAACTGAGTAAACTAATATTTAAAGATGTGGAAAGTAAGATAATAGGGTCTAGACTGAAAAGTAATACAGCATAATACAGTCCCATGATCACGGCTTGGGTGCTTGGCAACCGGCTCACCTTTATAGGGCTTGCAGCATTTGCAGTCAGCTGACCATGATTTGCAACCTTCCCAGCCTGCCTCCAGCAGCAAAGTCAATTGGGGAAGCAGGGCTCACGTAACCCTGTGATTTACCTAAGGACAGCAACAATTTGTTTAATGGCCACTGTAAAAATGGTCACGAAATCAGGTCCAGTCATGTGATGACTCGCTTAACAACTGAAATTCCAGTCCCAAAGAACTAGCAGAACCAAATGTGAGGTATTTATGGATACCGGTGCTGACTAGAACTTGATACAGGCATGTTCATGAATGTTGCATTAGTTTCCTGATCACTTGCTGAGAAGTCATAATTCAGACTCGGGAACTTGCCTATTCTTGCTGGGAATTGATGCTGATAAATAAGTATTCTAAAGCCTACATCCTTTTTTTAAACAGGTGAACAGGGAAGCTTTAGCCATGGATCTGTTGTTGATGGAAGATTTGAGGGATTCGTTAAGACTCACACTGGAACTTTTTATATTGAGCCAGCAGAAAGATATGTTAAGGACAAAGCCCTACCTTTTCATTCTGTCATGTATCATGAAGATGATATCAGTAAGTTTTTATTCTATGTTGAAAATATGCTATTTAGAAGAGGTGTACAAAAGCTATGAGTGAGTGAGGTTTCCAGGACACTAAATCTTAAAACAAAATAAGGCTCACTGAGCATCACTCTTCCACTGCTGTAGAGGGACACCTATCCTGAGCAGGGTGAGTCACGTTGCTTAGAAAATGTTATAATCCTCATAGGACCGACTCTAGTGAAGAATTTTCTTTCAAGTGTTCACACAAGTTCCTGAGCTTCATTTCCTATTGTTTAAAGTGTCCCCTGAAGTACTCAGCTAATATAAACAACAAGCTCCTAAATGCACAAAGCTTTTGATAGCCTATTAGATATCACCCTTCAATTGTAATTGTTAGTGGTATTACATGCAGTTAAATCAAGCTATTGGATGTAAATTTGTTATTTCCGTATCTCTCTCTATTTTTAAAAAGGACCATCTTATCCTTTTTTCCATTTGGAGGCATGCTGGAATATAGAGAACAAAAGCATCATGTTGTCAGCTGTCTATTTAAGTTAATTATCTTCAAGGAAACTTGTAATATCAAGACTATATTGTAGAAAATCATGATCTGCAGATCACTTTGTGTAAAGAAGGCTTGGTCTTCTGCTTTCTAATATGACTCCATCTTCTGTCTGTTACACTGGAATCACTGCATTTTATTTTTGATAGTACTTCTTCAGATTAGTATTCAATCTACAGATTTTACCAGTTACATTTCCTGATTCCCTCAGGGGAAATTGATTGTTTTTGTTTCTGTTACAGAAACAAGAATGTCTCACCAGATTTAAAAATGAAAAGATGCATGAGTCAAGCAAAGTATTGAGCTAATAGAACTTTCATTAGAAAGCATAGGCTATGGAATATGGTAGAAATTATGTTGCTGTTTTATTATTGTTTTGAAAGAAAAAGAGCAAAAGGCTTGCTTTAAGCCAGCACAGTTTAGGGGATTTAAGCAACTTAATGCTAGTCGTTTAGGATACTCAGGTTGGAAAACACTGGATAGATCTTTAACAAATGCATCAAGAATCTTGCTAGTTTTTCACAAAGAGACCCCCATGCCTTTAATTCGATATGTAGTTTACAATTCCAAACATTTTGTAATGTTTCTGCTCACAGAATAAGACATAGTTAAAGGAATTGTACATAGAGCATACAAGGTTACAATCAGTTCAGGCAAATGCCTCAGATAAAGAAATTTATATTGTTGGACTTCCAGTTCCGGATCGTGGCGCAGGTGGTCGGCGGAGAGACTTCTCTCTTTGCCGGCCAGTTTCCCTCCACCGGTAGACCCTCAATAGGGTCGAAAAGTCGCCCTGGAGGGGCGACTACCGTTGAGGAGGTCCCTTGTTAGACTGCGGACGGGCGGCAGCTTCCGCGGTCTGAGCCAGCTCCTTAGGGCCAACAGAGAAAAATTGGCCAGTAAAATGGCCGATCACTTAGCCGCACCAGCTGAAAGTCAGAAGAACAGCTAAGCGTAAAGAACCACCGTGGAGGATCCGGGTGAGACCTTTCCTTCCCTCTCTTTGCCCTAACTACTTTCCTGTAAAAAGCTTCTGAACTACTTCCCTGCTTTAAGAAAGCGGTGTCTGTTTACTTGGGAAAAAGAGCTCTGGAAACAAAAGAATATAAAATAGCTAACTTTTATTGACTATTTAATTTTTGGGATACCTAGGGGTCCTGAAAAAATTCCTATCATAACACCATTATTTTTTTACTTATTATACTGGAGATATCTGCTTTTTTTCCTCTAATTTCCTAATGAGAAATTTTTTTTATTAACTTGGAAAAAAAGATCTTACAGTCTACTGAGGACATCTTGTGGTGAAAATTGCTATTGCAACTGTATTCCCTCTTGGTGTTTGAAGATGGATTTGACCTTCAAATGATAATAAAAGGGAAAAGAAACAGCTGGGTGGTGAGTTTGTTTACTAAATAGTGGAGGTGAATATTTGTTGACTTTTAGTAAATAGAGCCTCCACTAAAAGATTAAAAGACTATTTCACCATTGAAATGGAGGAATTTTACCCACAGCTTGATTATGAGCTTATATTGGAAAAAATTTTGGAAGCTACGGAGTATATGAAATCTTGGAGAAAAATTAAAGATGATATTTCAGAACCACAAATTGAATCTCAAATTTTAATGGATCAATCTATAGGCCAAGGAACAATAGAGGAGGAACAGATTAGCTCCAAAGAGGCCTGTACGCAACAATATACACAACTTAAAGAGATGGAGGAACCATACCCACAACTCAACTACAAACTTGTACTGGGAAAAACTGTGGAACCTACTGAGCAAATCAATTCTAGAAAAACTCTCGCCCCAAAACCTCAATCTGACTTTCAGACTCCAATTGATTACGCCATAAGTCAAGAAACAACAGAAAAGGAATCAATTAATATAGAAGAGGATATTATACAACCCCATACACAATTTATGGAGAACCTTGAGACACCTGCAGTGTTAAAAACAACAGGAATTGACAGCCAGACACAAATTACTGAAAACTGTGATAACGTGGATAATCAACTAGTAACTACAACATGGAATAAAATTGATTACACCATTCAGATGATACTGGAAGAAGGGGAAGAGAACTTTGACCAGACTGAAGTGTCGATAAATACCCCTATTCAAATATTGAGATTCGATGATACAGAAGCCTTACTATGGAAACTGGTTTGGCACAGAAAAAAAGCCAGAATTAGATTTAAAAATGTGACTTAAAATTTCACTTAACGGGTTAAAATGGCTTTAGAGATCTTGACTGATTTAATAATTAACGGAGTATGTTAATTCAATAAGAAGATATCTTTTGTAATAATATGCTTGTTTTAGATATGATAATTATTGGAGGGGATTTAAATTTTACCTAATGGATTAAAAAGATTTTTATAGACATAGATTGATTGATAGAATATATATCTAAAATAGAGTAGAAATGTATTTTCTGGACTAATATTTTTATTTTAGGTAGGATAACTATTTCGTAATGGAAGAAGAATAAGAGGGAATTGTGACAAGAGAAGAAATGGTATTAATAAATGACTTATTAGATTAAGAAATAGAATATATGTGGAAATTATAAGAATGCTACTGTTGGAATAATATATGTATTTTAGATTTAATTATTATGTTAGGAAAAAAGGGAAATGAGGGATCCCCGAAGTGTTAATAATATGTTTATTCAACGCTGAATTGGAATATGGTAACAGTAAATTAGTAAAGCTCAAAAACAGGATTTGGATTTTTATAGATGAAATGTTATTGATGACTGTTTTGATTGATTGAATTCTATTTAGAAATGTATTAATTTGAATATGTTATATTACACGAGGGAAATCGAGAGGGAACTTTTAATGAATTAACCTGAGTTATATATGTATGATTTTGTTTTTGAATGATTGATTTCCCCACCACCACGTCGTTTCTTAAGCACTTTGATATAAAAATTAAAAAACCAATAAAACTTGTTTTTTTTTAAAAAAAGAAATTTATATTGTTAATGAGTGAGCCCTTCCATAGCCGGTATTTTAATTTTTGCAAGAATATTCTGTTAGAGCTTTTGGGACACAACAATGCGGCATATGTTCAGCATGACAAGGAAGTCTTATTCAGAGCTGAAACAAAAGCCAGTTCTAAAAATGAGGATTATATTGTACTGTTTCCTACAAAGACCTTTGTTCATGTTGCTCTCTCTTAACTTAATGACCAAATAAAGGCAAACCTTTTATTCTGATTTAAGGGATAGGGCAATTATTTGAATGAGTTTTTATACGTTCATGGGATATTATTTTTTGAAAAAATGGTTTTGCCAGTAGGGAGAGAGTTACAGTTCTTTCCACTGTGACTGAAGCAGTCTTGTTTGGGCATTACTTGGGCCCTGCCAGAAGAGTATCAATCATTGCAGAAAAAGTTGGAAATTGAGAGCAGCAGCTACATGAAAGCTCTAGAAGCATTTCTGGATATGGCACCAGCATATTTTTGCTACTAATGTTGAATTGTGATAGAAAAGAGTAATGCTTACTGGCCGTTTTGTTATTCTCAAGGTAACCTCAGGATGGACTTCCGGACCGCTCCCCCCCGCCACAGGGAGGAGGAACCGCCTAGATGGTTCCGCCCCAGGCGCCTGATGGACCCGGAGAGGTTCCTGACGGAGCTTGGGCCATATCCTGAGGACCTAGTTCACGATTCGGTTGACAATCTGGCGGCGGCCTGGGAGACGGCCGCTGCCGCAGCATTGGACCGAGTC